TTGAAGAACGTTGATCTACTCTTGGAGTTTTTCTGCACTATCAGTTTTGACATACACACCCCCATTATTATTATTTTTTGTGTGATTTGTATTCCATGGAGGAGATGCTCCCAGATGTTATTTTTTACTTCTGTAAAAATGTTCCAGTGATTATGTGACCATATGAGCGCCTTCCTAACAGCTTCCTCCATAAATTCTTTAAGCTCCCATGAGCACACATTAGGAGACTGTGACAGAACTTGATATCTGTGGTGCCATCTGACGGATTTAATTTTTGTGTTAGTTATTCAGTCGGCTTTGCTTGAAGTGATTGCATGGCAACTCACACATCAGTCAGTTAAGAGACAGGTGAATGATTGCTGCATTGTAGACCCCTGAGGTTAGGAATTGTGTGACTGGTGGGACTAAGTGACGGACAGAGATTTTGTTACCTGATGCAATTTATTTAAATGGCTCAATATGATCTTATTACCCATTCATGTTATTGCCTTAAGAAACTGAACTTAAATTGAATTGCCAGCTATGCAGACACAATGGCATTAAAGAAGTCACTAAATCCCACACACCCCTGGTATGTATTACCTGGGCCATGTGCTTCTGCTGTCATCACCTCATTCTTCCCACAAGCAAAGGGTTTCTTTCCTCATGGACTTTGGCTTAAGCATTCTCATTGTGCCATCTGGTGGCATTTCTCTTGTCTAGCAGCTGATTTCTACTTCCGATCAACACCTCTTTCACTCGACCCACCAGTGAAACGGATTCCACCAATTCACTAGGCAGCTTATTTTGTTACCCACCTTCTGCGTTTGCTAAAAGGAAGCCGCTGCCATCACCTTGCTTCCACCCTTAAACCATAATTCTTGAGCTTCTTCCTCCCTGGCAGCAGATAAGGAGTTCTCCAACCAAATATTTTAATATTTCAAATCCAATTTGTAGAGAGTTGTGGTGAAATAGCTCTACTGTAAGAGAGGTATGGGTCCTGGGTTCAAGCTAAAGAACTAAGCCCCTCATCCATTTCTCACTCATATATTGCCATCCTTGCAGGATACAGAGACGCATATGCCACAGAGTACTAACTCCGACCAAGGAAATTCATGAGGTGACTGGCACAGTCACTCTCTCTCAGCCTAGCCTGCCTCATATTGTTATTGACAGGAGGAACTGGATGCTCCTCTGAGTTCCTTGGCAGAAGGATGGGCCAAAGAACGTAATAAATAAATGTCACATAATTAAAGCTATACATACATAAATACTGGGAAGGCAACTGCCAGAAGTAGGTTAAATACTCATCCCGCTTTTCTAAGGATGCCTTCAGACAAGCTCTTGTATTAGATTTCCCTTTTGTATTATACTCCCTTCATCCAAGTATTAAACTCTGTGTGTCTCCTTTACGTACATTCACAGGCTTGATAATCTGCCCTCCATCCCTTAATAAATGCTGAGTATGTGCAACTCACCTGTGAGTAAGTCATTAAAAGAGCACACTTTTAAAACAAGTAGCCTAGACAACAGTAGAACCCAAGCAGTGACAGACTACTGGATGTGGTACAGACCCTGCAGCAGCTTACTGTGGGGTTTTCTTCACCAGAAGACAGGCATAATTGTCTGCCTGGATTCTAACCCGCAGTTTCAACATCTCCTAGTGGTCAATTGTGAACTAAGTTTCAAAAATATGGAGATACAAGTCTAAATGCCGATGAACTAAAGATCATGTCTATAACTGTATATAAATTTTAAGAGATGCTCAGGACTGAGCTTGGGCTCCAGCTACAGAAGAAACTGGCAACTAATAGTGTCAGATTATAATTCAAGGGCTCTTGGTTTAACTTTACTGCCTAGGGCAGGGGTGTCAAACTCATTTGTTACAAGGGCCGGATCTGATATAAATAGGATTTTGTTGGGCAAGGTCATGTGTGTCATAACATGTAATGCCAGGTAGAGAACATATTAACTTTAAAAGACACTGACAAACACAATTAAAGGTTTTTTTAAAAACTTAAAATATAAACATGCTTAAAACAGTAACACTCTTTTATTTAACAGTCTTTGATAACTGACACTTCCCAAACCTCCCCCCCCCTTAAAATATGCCTACCTAAAATGGAAAGGTGGGGGGGGGATAGTGGGATTTGGCAATGCAATTTTTTAAATGAAACAAAGAAAAAGTACAAGGATCACAGCAGAAACTAAAAATATAAAATGCTCTGAGCCTAGGAAAACATGAAA